GGAAAAAGGGGGGCATATGTAATACTTTCAACAGTAAAGATAAATTTAGTTTTTTAAAATATATCTTTATTGATTTCAGAGAGAGGAACAGAGAGGGAGAGAGAGAGATAGAAACATCAATGATGAGAGAGTCACTGATCAAGCCCACAACCGGGCATGTGCCCTGACCAGGAATCGAACCCCGATCACCTGGATCCTAGGTCGATGCTCAACCGCTGAGCCACACCGGCCGGGCAAGATAAATTTTAAAAAATAAAAATAAATAAAATGCCCAAAAGGGTTCATGTTGTCATTACAGTTCAGTTGACTCATGTGTGTAATAAGCTAAAGAATATCCCTTAAAACACAAGCCAACACATGTGAAAAAAAAGCTAGAATATTTTATGAAAAGCAAAACAAAGTGATAGGGTGGGTACTATTCTAATGAGGTACAGTCCTCCATCCCAAGCCACCCCCTACCCCATAACTTATTTCTTCCCTCCATGACTTTCTGTACACTTTTCCTCTCCAAATCTTTTGTATATGATGACCTCTCTATCCATTTGGGCTTTCTCTCCCTATAAACTATGACCTACTGCCCTTGACCTACTTACCCTACACCTAATAAACCATCCATTATATGTAATAAAATTTACTACAGCTTAACGTTAGCAAAAAGAATAATGCTCATTGTCAGACAAAAATGTTCAAGACAGTTTCTGGGTACAAATCAAAGCAAGAAGGTATTATCAACTTCTTTAAAAAAATAGTCTCCCATTCTCTAATGTGTTAGCCATAATCACATTTACATTTAAGGTATATAAATGCACACACATTTATATCTATCACATTTGAAGATTTAAATGGTGCACTCCCATTCCTTTTTACTCATTCAATGCTATCCTAATGCTGTTTTAATAAAAATATTTTAAATTAACACCACAAGCTACTTACATCATTAAAAAAAAAAAAACATTTCAGTAGCTATTTTCCCTCCCAATTATGAGCTCATTTATAATGTAGTTGAAATTTTGTGCAAAAAATCTTAAAGGCAATATTAGCAAAGAATAATGTACATCTGACTTCCCGAAATGTAAACTGAAAAAATAATCTCTATGAGTGCTATCAGTTAGTGAATGTCCAAGGAATATGGGAATAATCTTAAGAGATGAACACAAATTGTCATTATTTACTGATAAAAAGCCATATTAGAGGGTATTTTAAAATCATATTCACTTTCTCTGCAATATTTTTACAGAATATCAGAAATTATCTCCTATGCACATTCAACTAGCACAGTATTCGGCACATGGTAAGCCACTATGTGTTGCAAAACTGAATTTGATCTTCTACTCCACCTTCCCATTATCTTACTGCATTTGATTTTTCTTGGTTGGCAGGGGCTGCCTTGACATACATTCTCCAATCAAGGTTCATTGCAGCAAAATGTACTAATGTTCCAAATGTGAAAGTGAACAAATACCCTAATTTCCTTACCTGCGAATTCTTTTAAATGAGACTATTTTGTATTCTGAAATCTATTTATTAAAGAACTAAATGAATCATGTTTATTCATATCAATAATAGTTTAAAATGTTCACTAAACAAAATATGTTCCGATAATGGAAGACTTCTGAAAGGTAATATCCACATCCATCTGAGACAGTGATACCAAAAAGAAGGTAAGACCAACAAGATTCATAGAATTGTATACCAAGAGTGAATTTTACTGTATGTAAATAAAAAATGAATGTATGACAAAAAATTTATGAAAATAGACATAATTCTGACTTAATCTTGTTATAAATGTATAACCTCTTTATAAGAACCAAAACAACACAACAAGAAGTAATGAGAATTTTGGATCATCCATCAAGAGGTGGAGCTGTCTGGACTACACCAGCCATAGGAAGAACTCTGCCTTCCCAGCAACCATATTGGAACAAAAACCAAGGACCTGAAGCTTAAAGAGCCAACAAGGAAGCAACATTGGATGCAAATCAAAGAAGTAATATTCAGAAGATGGCCAAAATAGCTAAACTTCTATGCCTCAATAATATCACTTTGGTGATGCTACAATTTAGTATTTCTCTGAGACTCTGGATCCCACTGAAGTGCTAGGATTGATCACCTGGGCACACCCCAGGACAGCTGTAATCTGTTTCAAAATTAGACTGAACCTCTTGTATTTTTGGAGCACAGGTGAAGGGATTAACATCATAAGATATAACCCCACCCCACGCCTACCCCACCCCAGCAGCACTAGGGGCACATTCAAATTTTTGAAAGCAAACAGTGTTGAATTCTTGAAAACTCAAACAGCATTAAACAACTAGAGGATGACAGGACCAGCCATACAGGGATCAAGCAACGGATGGAGTTACTTTAGAGAAAATGGAAGTTTTGATTTCACTTTTAAGTAATTTTGGAAGATAAATATAATATCCCAATTAGCAGGGCACTTATATTTTAAAATCTTATATAATTAATATATTAGTATATTTTTATCTAGCACTTATAATGCGGTTAAATATTTAAACTGTTTTATTTTTAATAAAATATTAGAAGAAAATTAAGCATCAAAACAGGTTACTAAACTCATATTTTACAATACCAGTGGGATTCCTTGATTCTGCAAAGGGCGGAGATATGATGGATGGCCTGTACTCATCCCAAGGAACCTAAAGCTTTAATACTTTTTTGACTCATTCTGTTCTCTTGTTAGGCCTCAAGTACAGCCCTGACATCACCAAGAGGACAGGACCTGAATGAGACAAGTCTAACAAATCCTTCTTGTTGCAATTAGAATAAGAGAAGACTTCCTACCTACAGTATTTGAGAATGCAACTTCAGCAAAGCTAAATTGGTAGCAACATAAATGGTTTTATATTCAAAGATCTCAGCTTCCCTCATAAAATAGTAATAAAAGGGAAAAGAGGATGCTGGGAACATTTATTGAGCATACACCAAGTGTGAGGTATTTGGCTAGGAGTTTTACCCATGTTACCATATTTCATTTTCAGAACCACCCAGGAAAGTAAGGTACTAATATCGATATATAGTTACACATAGGTAAGGTACAGACAGGATAAACAATTTGTTAATAAGGTCAAGATGGTTAGGACATAAATGACTTGAAAGTCATTTGTCTTGATACATTAGCACACCTATATTATTAAGGCATTTTCTACCTACTTAATAAAAGCAATGATTAAGCGCTCTTCATGTAACTTATAAAGAGAAACTCATCATTCCTACTACCTAAGGACTAACCAGAAAATATTATCCATCACATGATAAACTAGTAATTTGTAGCTAGTTTGCATTTTTATTCAGATGAAAAGCTATAAACAAGAATCCACTGGAGCTTTAAAGATATTAGTAATATCATTTTACCATCATCTAAATATATGCCCAGAGGAAACACCACATTCTGTGAATCAGTATTATGACAAAAATCTTAAAATTATTTGCTTGCCCAAATCAAACATCGGGTGAATTTCACTATTAATAGGATTTTATCAGTAAAATAAAACAGAATATAGCTTCCTCTTACCTTATAAAACAATCATTTCGAATCAGTAAAAGATGCTGAAGAATAGAAATAAAATATTTCTCTGCTCTAGTTTCCTTAACTGTGCTCCACACCATGTTGTATACATCATATGCTTCAGTAAATTGATTAAGGAATATGTGGATTTATTTATCCTGTACATTGAACTGAAATAATGTGACAGAATCTGCTCTGTAAGACTTCTAAAGATTATTTAAAATAGGCATCATGCATACTCAACATGTAATCAAACACAGGTAGTTAAAGCTGAGAGTAGAGGGAATTGTGTGCAAATGACAACCTGACACTTCTTGGCTTCTCTACAATTAACTTCAACCAATCTCCCTCTCTAAAGCCAAGATGCTGCTGGCAGTCGGTGCAGTGGGCAGCTGGTTGTAATTACTCTACTGGGTTCTGAGGGTGCCTTGACCAAGACAGCATACCAGGGAGAAGTCCCAATGGCAGCCAGGAACCTGGTGGATCTCTAGAAAGCACAGACATCTGTAGATCCACAGAGTTCACAAAGGACCATATCAGAATGCATCCAGGGTGTAGGGAGGAGCTAACCAGTAGGCTATGGTCCCCTAATTCCTACTGCTGGAAGCATTGGGGGAGGGGAGGTGCCAAGCATAAAAGGAAAAAAAAGATTACAAACACACACATAAGATATTGATCCACAGAATTCATCTGTATGTTGTAACATCCATTTACTATTGTATGTATTCATAAAAATCACACATTAATTAAAAAATAAGAAAGGTTTATACTATTATCCTTATTTATAAAGGTTTAATTTTATATTATTTATTTAGAAATTTAGTATTTTATGGGGCAAAGGTTGGTTGGTTAGGGTTTAGCAGTAATTTTACATATCTGTCTAGACTTTAGAACAAAAGGATATTCAAGTTCAGCTTTAATATCTTCCAGGCGATGAGAGAATTCAATCAAGTCTTCTTCTTTATGCTCATCAAAAACTTTAAGTTGGATATCCAGGCCATCATTCTTAATGCATTTTAAATTCTAGAGATATCAAATAAAAATTATGAACTCTTTTCCATAGTGCAAAAAATTAAATAAAAACATATGCAATAAACCAACCACTCAACTTGATTTATAGAGCATTCCAACATTTAAAGTATTAAATACTCAAAATTCTTATCTAGTTTTAAAAAATAAATTTTAATATTCAAGGCTTTTTTCCCACAGATAAATTATTCTTGAAGGTAATTTAAATTTTCCCCCCACTCAAGTACTCCTCTAATTTAAGTATTAATAAGAAGACTGCAGGGCACTTACAGGCAGTATCTCTTTCAATCCACAACGCATAAATTCATTTCTGATGTGAAGCCGGAAGTCCAAATCATCAGGAGATGTAACAAGGGCATTGATGAGCTGCATACATGCTACCTACAACAGATTATACAGCCAGAGTTAGACTTAAATTCCAACATTTAAAAAAAAAGAATAATAGAACTAAAACATCAAGGTTCTGTTGCAAGTATATCAAATATGTTCCTTCACAGGAGAGTCTAATGAAACAAAAATTCTTATGTAAAATATTTTTTCGCTATAAGTTACATAACAATTATGGTTTCAGTGGAGTTTCTTATTTTTCAAGGATTCAGAGGTCCTTGTGGGAGAGGAGAGGTGGAGAAACATTAGGCAGTGGCACTGTTCCATAAAAAAATTTACTCCAACCAAAGTTAAGTTCTTGTCCCAAGATGTCATTTCATACACATACAACACAAACTACACACATCCTAGTTGAAAAACTGTAAATCTCAAATAGATGGCTAACATGTAAAATAGGATAATAAAATAATTTTCCACTCTTCAAGACAAATCCAAAGTCCCAAAGACTTTATAGTCAACAAGTGTCCTGAATCTGGTCAATGAGGTTGTTATAACCAAAAAATATATTATGAACACTACACAATTAATTACTAAACGTTAACTTACCAAGCAATGGTTCTTACCCTTTGGCAAAAATTCAAAATTACTGTATGTTACAACAAACACATAAAGAAATAAAATTCGCTCCATTTTTTCAGTTCAGGTTTCACACACCAACTTTCAAACTCTCCATTTTTTTAAACCCTGGCCTGATATAGTTCATCATCTAAAATCCATATAATGGAAGCAAGAGAGATTGTCTCTAGAGAAGCAAAAGTATGCTTTGCTGTTCCTGTTATTTTTCTAAGTCTACATTCTACCAAAGTCTAGCAAGAATGACAGGCCTACTGATCATTGTTTAACCTCATGCTGTTCCCTAAATTGTCCTTTCTCCATCCCTTAAAGCAAAGTTTATATGAATTTAAAATGCCATTTTTGGATTAAGACACCAATAGGGGTCTCAGTTCCTGCTGGTTGAAATATATAGTAATTGTTGTATTTTATATCTGTTAAAATCTGATAAGCATCCTTCTACTGTCAAAACTTAAGACTATATAAAGTAGGGGTGGGAAATGTGCAAGAAGAGAGTAGAAAGGGAGGGGGA